GCAGCGGGCGGCAGGAGAGGTGTGCGCGCCATGTGGGACCCTCCTCTCTTGGCCGGGGAGCAGCCGGGGATCGAACTGGCGCTACAGAGGCTGTGGGCAGCTTTGCAACCCAGTGCTCAACCGCTGCGCCACCGGGGTGGCCCCATGAAGTACATTTATTAATGAGATTTTCAGTTCACTTTTCCAGCCATCTTCATGAATATAAAACTAATGTCACAGAACCTTTTCCTCAGAACTTTTCTTGTAAAGAATATTAGAAGTCATTGGTTCTTGGCTATGTGACAACTTCAGCTTTCTTTCATTCCTTCACCCTAGCCTCTAACAGGAAATCTCCCATGGCTAGGTGCCTAAGCTACAGAAAACTGAATGGTGTCTCTCTCCACCTAGGCCTATATAAACATTCAACTGAAACTCTGATAAAATGCAGTGTGAAAATAGGATTTCCCAGGAACAGAGACAATGTGTTGCTCCTGCATACACCACAGGATCTCATGGCCTTATTCTATAATACATCCTTAATAATATATAGGAAGCATACTTTCTAATTTCTTATATGTCTGAAAATAAATCTACATGACCCACATAGCTTAATGATGGCTTAAATTTTACCAAATTCTAATCTATTATAATTCCTTGGAAATGTGTGAACAGTATTCTAGAAACTAATGATTGAAATGAGAATATGCATATCAGAATGATTCTTATTCCTTTTCGGGTAATGTCTTTATTTTTCCCAAAAGTTTTAGAGTGGCCCACCGTGGATCAGTGAACACTAAAGACAGATGTATTTAGCCGCTATTTTTTATAAATTCCTTAACAATTGTACACTTTAGTTTTCTCATCTATAAAACGATGGAAATAATAGAATTTACCTTAAAGGTCGTTGAAGATTAAATTAATTGCTACTTGTAACTGTTCAGGAAAGTAAATAAAGTAACTACATGAAATATCAGTCATTATGCTCAGCATTTCCATATTTGAAAATAATTCCATTGTTGTCAAATTTCAAAAACAGTTGTTTGATAGATTGTTAATTCAAACCCTTGTTTCCTAGACTTTCATGTTAATAAAAACTACACCATTATTTACACTCGTTAAATAACCGTAGTCCCTTTTCCTAACTTAAAGGTACCTTACTTGGCTAAATAACTAAAACCTAACTTCCCACTTAAGCAAAATTTTGTTGGGACAAATAGTTCTTGATTTGTTCTAGTGTAAAACAAATGTGGAGGCTATAAGTCAGTTGTCTGTTCTTCAGACAAATGCAATTTCTTTTATGATAAAAGCAAACCAAAGTAACCAAGTAAAATTAGAACTTTAATATCATGGTGGTGATAATGCCATTATCACAATAAATTATAATTTATAATTTATTATAAATAATTTATAATAATTATTTATAATAATAATTTATTAAATCATAATGCCATTATGATTTAATACTTTCTGCAAACTTATAATAATTATATTCTCACTGTCCACTTCGCAAGTAGTCATTTACTTTAGGCTTTGAGTCAGGAAATATTATTCAAGAACTTAAATATCAAGCTTTCAAAAAAATGTTAATCAAAATGCGCAAGAAAATGCCAAATGCTTTTGAACTAAGCAGGTTAATGGTCAAGTAAATCACACTTTTTAAAACAATGAATAAATGTATTTATTTTCTGCTGAAATAAGACTGAGGAGGTGAACTGTATTTTTTACATTGGACTAAAACAAAATATCAATCAATGTAATGTGCCTTTTTATGTTATAACTCTATGAAATAATATGAAAATATGTAAACATAGATATTCAAATTAAAAATGAAAATTTGGAACAAAGTAGGTGCAAAATGAGTTTACTAGCATAAAATTAGAAACACCAAGTGCAATATAAATTGCAGCACTTATTGGTTAGAATATGTTAATAATTAAGCTAAAGTCATGCACTTAATTCCCGGATGTACCAGTTTACTCTGCTTTGTTACAGAGACACAGAATGAATCACAATTCCCAGCTGTCTTGGAAGTGTGCATTATTGATCAAGATGGGTACATAGTGAATGTGTGGAAAGATTAGTCCAATTCCATTACAAAGACAGGAAAACAATTCTAAGCACATTCTATACAGAGTGGGTCAGCAGCTTAATTTTTATTTCAGTTTGCCTTGAGCACGTGTTTCTTTTAGACAGATGCTTAATGACAGTTTTTATAATGTTAATAATATTGAAGAGAAGATACATTTTAAAACAATACTGCAGTTTTCCTGAACAGGTAATTTTAAAATTTAAAGATTCAAGAACAAAACAGAGAATAAATCATATATTAGTTCTTGAATCCCTTTAGCCTTACATTATAATGTATATATTAAGTTTGGAAAAACAACGATAGTTTTGCTCTATAATATAATATAACAGCAATTAATTGTGACTAATCTCACCACAATGTAAAAAAATATTTCTATTTGTGTATTTATGTTCACATATGCACATATCATATATACATTCATCTATATTATGCACATAACCATACACATAACCATAAATATAGCTAGTGCCCTAAATATGACATTAATATACATGTTAATATAGGTATATATGCAAATATTTACATACACATGTCTGACAAATTCTTTCAAATACAAATTCTTCTTTCTTTCATGTATCTTTCTGATTTATTCACAGAATACGTCAAAAATTCCTAACAAATATAAACAGTCTAAAAAGCAGTTTTTACTTCTATTTGTGTGGCCTGTTGCCTAGAATCACCCTACTTCCCATGAACCTGGTTTCTACTTACCTATCTTATTCTAAGGTCAATTAAAGAATACATAACATTTTTCTAAAATGGATGCCATGCCATTCTATCATGTATCTTTTTTACTCTTAATTATTTTTATTATTCATGTAGAACATGTTTCACTATATAAACATGAAATACTAACAATAATGGCTTTCCTCTAGAGTAACCAAAAGTTCTTAATTTTAAGATGATGGCATTACTTGTATAATTTAGTAGTTAATAAATTTGAACTCATTCTAAGTTCACATAAAGAAACCCCCCCAACCAAAGTGAAGTGGGAACAATGGGCATGTTATGATGATGTGTTTATAAAATTAAAAATACTAAATGTACCAAGAGAAAGAGAGAGTTGCTATCATTATCATCAGCTTAATGAGTCTAACCAGAGGGAAAAAATATTAGACAAATGTAGAAAATATAGAAAACCTGAATGTACATAGTGTAATCACACATTTTATGCCTTTTTCTGGAAACTTTATAAATGTAATTGATTTAGCGCTCATTTAAAAAATCTTATGGGTTAATTAATTTTAAAGCATGTATGGTGCTTTTTAAAAATACAATCTGTATAATGTACTATAACTGATATACATTGTTTATATTTTTTCTGTAGATTGCTATACTTTTAAAGGTGAATCAAAATACAACTTATTCTACCTTACTACTATGTTCATAATGTATGAAGACATTTTTCCTGTAATGGTAGAGAAAAATATACAAAGAAACCAAACATCAATTTCCCTATCTAGATATTATAATTTTAAAACATGTCAATATAAATATATTAATATATATGTGATAAAGACAATAATGTTTTATGTAGCTAAACATAACTCTATATAATAATTGTACATTAAGCGACTGTAACACTATATACTATTCATTTATCTACAATTGAAACACACACAATAAAAACTAAATTATTACAAATAAAGCATCAAAACAAATGATTTACATGGTAAATAAATCACATGACAGAAGTTTCTTATATATCATGAAAACACCTTACAGAGCAATGTTACTTCCCTTAGCATAAGAAAGTGGCAGAATGTCAAGTTACTCTCTTCAAAATTAAAAGCTACCCAAGAAATAGACATTGAGGAAGAAAGTAGAGCAAACAGTGAGCTCATCATAGACAATATTTTACTCTAAAAGGAAGTCATGACTGCTAGCAGTTCATATTTACCATTATTTACTTATGAACAATAAAAACAATTTAAAGTAAAAAATATTAAATAAAAAAATGGCATGGTGTCAATTTCAGAATATTTTACACTTAAAGACACTAAGTATCCTAAAATACATCTTTATATATGAAAGTATGTGATAAAACAGTTTAAATCCATTTAACAAAGATATTAACTGCACACTATGATGTGAAGTTAGGTACAGGTGTCTAAATCTATATTTACATACACATATCTATAGCTATATTTCTATCTGGTTCAGTTATACTAGTATAAAATTATGCTTCCTATTTTAATACTACCTAACTAGTTTTTTCTCTCCCATACTAGGTCAAACCTACAATAGAGCACAATTAAACAGAATACCTCAGACTCCTGCAAAAGATACATTATTCTGCATCTCCCTGACTTGTGTTTTTTGTTGTAGTTACAGATCTGCATAAATCCATATTGCAGTGTACCAATCACACAAGATTACTTTATAACTGTCAAAGACTTCCAAAAGCAGAACAAACTGTTTTCTATAATAAAGCAAAGCACTAGTTCTTGACTTGCACTGTCAGGAGACCTGCCCTTCCTTTCTGCCTGATTGCACAATAAAACTTCACAGAAATAAAGCGCAGGCAGAGACAGTGATGGGCAATGACAGTTTTCTCACCTTTTCTGCTTTGAAGATTGTGGAAAGATAAGGGCACCTCTGTGTCAGTAATTTGAAGGAAACATTTCTTGTTTGACAACTGTGGCATGCAATACAAATTGTCTTAATTTGGTTGTTTACAGTATTTGGGAAGATGCCAGAGTTGCAGTAAATATCAATACCAAATGATAAATGAGCTTACATTTTTCTACCTGTAGACTGAAGGAAGGATTTTGTTATTTTCTCCCCTGTACCCCTCAGCTGATCCACTGCATTCTGCAGTGAATATTTATTGACTACTTATTTTAGCTAGATCTTTACTAATTAAAATGCATTATAACATTGTTTCTAAAGAAATGAAAAATAATAAAATAGTTGACATATACAGTCTTACCAGGTGAAGATAAGGCATAGTAATGTAGATATTAAAATCAAAACTTGATTAAACATGGCAGACTGGGTACGTTGAATGGCTCTGTGTAGATCATTCTAAAGTGACAGAAAAGAGAGCATATTTTAAAATACAATAGCGCTAAATATCAGTAAATTTCATTACAACAATATACTACATATTACATTTCAACTATCCTGTGTATATCTAATACTTACAATTTAAAAGATCATAGCAACATATATTTAATTTTTCCCTAGGTCTAAATAGCATTCACAATAATACTAGGGGAAGACTAAGTTTCAGTTTACTTGTCTGCAAATATCTATGGAGATGTTGCATTGATTTCCTAAAACTTATCCATAATCACAAACTTTCATGGAAAATTCTAATGTTAAAAGATTATTAAATTACATTTCATTTAATTGGGAAGTAATAGCTGCATCAAACTACAATCAAATCACAGTCTCTGAATCAGGAAAAATAACATGAGTTATGCCAAGCAATTTATCACAAAAGGAAAAATTATATTATAATAAACCCATTGTAAAAAATTAATTTCATTAATACCAAAATAAATGTGAATTCTGTTATACCTTTCCAATTAAAAGACATTAAAAAATAATAAAACACAGTGTAGTTTACAATGAAGAAAAATGAACACTCATTTTCTGCTCATATAATTTGCAATAAATTTTTAAAGGCAATTTGGTACTATTAAGCCAAAATTCAGAAGTATCTGCTTTGTATTTCAATCACTGTTTCATTCACTTAGTAAGTAATCAATATTCAATAGCAAATCAATCAATGTAATACAGTACATAATAACAAAACTTCTAAAAATTAACTGCATAAAAATCATCAAAGATGGGAATGTTTATGTGTGTTCATACTTATATAAAATGTTAATATTTATTATATGAAAAAATAAGTTTGCTCCACTTAAAATAAGCAATACCAAATGGCTATGTAAAGTTATCAATATCTCTGTAGTTTATTTAGATGCACACACTAAGAATTACTTAAAGAAAATTTAAAAACATAGGAACTTGTCTAGCATATACTATCATATGACACAAATTAACATTATAAAGTTAAAAAAACATATATTTTCATGCATGATTTGTATGCATTTTTTCACTGAAAATATTGGAAGTATATAAATTACTACAAAGTTTAGTCCTTGTAGTAAATCATAGATTTTCATCATTTACCCTACAGTTTTCTGTACATATCAAACTTATACAATAAAACTTGAAGAGTCTTAAAATCAGTGTAGCATGAGTTAAGTAATTCACCAACATTACATCTCAATGAGTCATTATTATTACTTAATTCTACTACACATGTAACCTTAACTGTTAGAAAAAATAAAAAATAAGTTGATTAGTATTTCACCTGTCACCCCTTACTTTCTCCCAACAGAGGTGTTAATGAGCAAAAAATAAAAAATGCTAAGCAACCAGTGAGTTGAGGTGAAGCATAATATAAAAATACAATGAAAAATGAAGCTTAAACTAATACTGCGGAGCACTACTTTTAGTCTCAATTACTTTATGATTGAGTCATGATTTCTCTTTTGGTTATTTTTTCTAACAACTAATAATACAAATTAACAAAGGTTTAGTTTTTTCCTGGTATATTTTTTCTATTAGTAATTTCGGCAACCTATCTTTAGTGAAATGTTTGTTTTGGGGTGGCAAGGCCAGTGAAGACTCCCCAAAATGTCTGCAAACAACTCAATAGGCCACACTCTCCCATATTTTAATCCTGTACTTTTTAGTAGTAGTCATCCAGTTGTGAATACTCAATGTTTTCTAAATATTCTTTTAGGCCAAAACTTTTGTCATAATTTCCAATTAAAGATCATTGGAAAGAAAACAAGTTTGTCACCAGGAAATATAATTTTGATATTTTGAAATTAATAATACTGAATCCTTACTATATTTATGCCAGATATATTTATATGTGTACATATATATACACACATATACATACACATATATATGCACTTATATACATATATATGTACTTATATGTGTGTATATATATTATTATGTCTATATACACTTTCATTTAATTCTCACAGCAAGTCTATAATGTTCATATTTTTATTTTCTTTAAATATAATGAAATTAGTAGAGAAATATAAACAGTTGCCTCTCATATCAGAGTAGTGCTTAGTATATAGCAGATTTGTATTAACATTTTTAGAATGAATGACTACATAGCAAATGTCTTTCTGCTCACTTGTAATTATTGAAGCGTATACTAAGCATGTTTGGGTAACAGTTAAAAATCAATCCTTCCATAGAGGATAAGCCTTGGGCAAAATGCAGAAGTGGTGAATCTTTGAATTCTGCATATTTTATTCTATCACCCACTTTCCTGTCTTGCCCCTAATATCCTGCTCACAACCCAACCCAACCAAATCTAAAGAGATGACTAAATGAGAGGCTTTCTAGCTCCCACGCAGAGCTTTACCCCACAGATCTTTATGGCAAATGAAGTCATGTACAGTTAAGAATAGTGTGACCTCTCCTTAAAGGGAAGGGTCCAAGTAAACATCAACAGACTGCTCTGGAACGGAAGGCTAGTTGTCTTCACAAGATTGACTAACTCTAGTTGAATTTATCCAAACAGCAGTTAGCATTGGTTTGGTGAGAGAAAATCAAAACCATTTTTGTTTACCAGTTGATGGGATCTTACAAAAGTAGTGACTTGAAAATTTTAGTATTTTTTATGTGTCATTTTGATTAGGATAAAAATAAAATCTTCACTTAAGTTCTATTAGTGGAGTGAGCTACACTACATAGCACTTTAATTATTTGACAGTACTTTACCAAATGTCTTTCATTTTTACAAAAATCTAAATGAAAATACTAGGGTACCAAATTGATTTTAAAAAGTTTACAAAATTTAGAAATTTAAGTATAAGTCAGTTTGAAATGCATATGTTTATATTTTAAGGTAGAAAGGTGAATGAGAAAATACAAGAGTAAGACATCAAATAATCTTCTGTTTAATTTGAACATTGAAAATAAGTAAGAAATAATAGTGTCAAAATATTTTGTTTTTGTTTTACTTTTATACTTACAATCATATTTTCCAAAACATGTTTGGCAAGCCAACAATTTAGAAAGACTGGGACAAATAGATTCCTTAAGGGAGGCCAGAATATCTGAAAAACAAATCAAAACTGGACTTCTTTCTCAGAGTAAGAAATAAATATGCAAGATGCAGATATAATCCTTTCATTCACTATCTTAAACTTAGGAAAAAATTCTAAGAGAAATTATTAGAGGAATAAAAACATAAGTGCTCTCTGGATGTCAGATATAACTATGCTAATACTATCATTAAATCTTCTAGTGTGACAATTTATAATAGACATCGGCTCTCTCTTCTCTGCAACTTGAGGTGAAAAGTAGAACAAGGAGAAAATACTGCCTTTTTTATAACGTTACTGCTTATTCTTTTGGAAACAAGTATTTTAAATGAGATTGGGAAACCATGGTCAATTGAAATTATATTTAGTTACTCATTTAATCAAGTTCCAGTTGCTTATGCAACTTACAATAATTATCAGAAGTGAGCAATCATTTCTAATAATCTCCACTTATTGTCATAATTTTCCAAATAAAATCCACACATACTATTAGAAAACATAATACCAACAAATATTACATAACTCTTACCAAATAGAGATTAAATCCTAATTTTGCAATGAGAACAAGCTGGTTACATGTTTATGGGACTTCAGTTAAACAAGATACTCATGAATTGGTACTGCATAGTACTTTGTTGAAGAAGTAAATTGTCAGAGGGCTATATTCCCATTAAAAAGAAAACTGGAATTAGTGAATTCATGATTAAACTATAGATAAATTCTCAATATTTGAAAGTACTTGTTTTCTATTTTATATATATTTTATAATATATACAAGAAATGGAAAGATTAATTTCTAATCTGTTAGACAATATTGACACTTGTTTAAATGGTACCATTGGAGCATGTATTTCTAAAAAGCATTTTATTTTGCTATTGTACTATTACTCTCATAAGTTTTCATTTAATTCCACAATACAGTTATTCACCTGTATACTACATATATTTTAATATCATGATGCTTATGAAAGTCTAAATTCATGTATTTAAGCTAATACATTATTCTTCAGTATTTAGAATCAAAGTTTTAAGTGTAATGGCAAAAAAATTAAAATTAAGATTCCTTTAGAACTTACTGAGATAATGAAGGGAACTGCATTAATTATTTCCAAGATGAAGGGTATTCGTAAAATCTGTTCCCAGATGTTTCCCTTCCAAGAAAGAATGAATAAAATGAACATCAATTATACTGAATCCCATTTAAGGGGAAAAACAGACAGGACTCAGAATTTCATTAGCAGTAAGTATATGTTAACAGAATAATGACTCCTTATATACACACACATAGCAAGGATTTCTGAGTTAAATTGTGCTTTCTTCATTTTTTAATAAGTTCAAGAAGTAAAAGAAGGGTTTATCATAACACTTCAATATTGCGCATATTTTGATCATACAATATTTCATGGAAGAAATGTTACTAGTAAAATTTAAACACATTTACAAAACCTATAGCATCAAAGAAAATGTGATTCAATTTTAATTTTTACTATAATAGCTATGTTCAAATAAAGTCTATTAAATATTAATTTGTTAACAATGTTCATATTAACATTGCTTTTACATTAATAAGACTTAAACAAAAGGCTTTTCCATTATCCACATTCTAATCTCCCAACCCACATAATACAACAATATTAATCACAACTACCTACTAAACCAGTGAAAAAAATTAAAATTCAGTATTATTGAGAAAGTAGTGACAATTTCAAGGTGACAACAGAAGACTAAATCAAGTCCAGGCCCACCTAATTGTGTAGCCCTATGCTACTGTGCAGACCACACACTCATACATTGCCTGATGTTAATAGATGATTAAAACTTTTTTGAATGGTGCCTAATGAAAAACAACTATGAACTTCCTAAAGAAGTTTAGTCTTATATAAAGAGATCTGTGTATTAGAAAGATAATTTGAAATCTGGTTTCCTGCTATTTCCAATTATTTTATAATACTAAGTGAAAAATTGACAATATTTTCTCATTTTCCTTGAGGTCCCAAAGGTGTAAAACATTACAGTGATATTAAATACCTCTATATCACAAAGCAAGATTCTAGATCAGCTTTATCTATGTACTAACATATTAAGTAACAGGAATGTCATCATTAATCCACTGCCAACTCCAGGCTATAAGAAAAATGGTCGTAGTTAGGGAAGGTCAGTCAACTAGAAGAGAATCAATGAGAATTCCTCTGTATACAGATGCTGAGTTCTTTCTTCTTTCATGCCCTCAGGTAAACAAGAAGGGTCAATGAAGCACTACAGAGCTTGGCTCAGATGTAAAGACTATTTGTCCAGCATCTAAAGCATCTCAAAATGAGGAGAAAACAGGGCAGAGAGAAAGAAGGCTTAAATGACTGCAAATCACAACTCTGCTAATTTTAAGACAAAGGTGCCTGTTTTCTGGGAGCCAGATATAGACACTAAAAAATGAAACCTGTGGTTATTTACAAAAAGTTTATGCTTAAGTGTGCCTGAAGGAGAAATGGAAACTTAACAGATAGTGCACCTCAAAATGCCAGGGTCTTGGTCGGAGCCCTAGGGTCAGCTAGAGGCATTGACACATCCAGGCACTTCAGTCAAAGGCTTGGGAGGACAAAAATGCCCTACTTGTATCTCTCCATGCAGACTAATCCAACACAAGGCCCAATATTTTGTCAGTCAGACAAATTTTCCTAAATGCTGATTTCACTTCACTCTCCGCTCCTCCTCAGCCTCAAAAGGACCAAAAGCAGCTGGCACAACACAGGAGCAAAGGGTAAGACTAGGAGACAGCCTCTATGATCATTTCCTGCCCCAGGTAGTCCTTAGCTAGGGAAAAGCTGAAGCTTTCAATTGGATAAAAATTATTTTTTTCCATATATTGATAATTTAAATGCTAAATTGAAATTTGCCCTTCGATTGATAAGATTAGGAAAGCCATGAGACCTGAGACCTCCACTGAGATTTCACCTTAATTAGCATGGCTCAGAAGGAGGATTAACGGATATGAAGTATAGAAAGATCTTTCCTACTTGCAATGAGCTAGGCCTATTCAATAAATTAATTTTATTTTTATTTTTAAAAAGATTCATTTTATTTATTGATGTATACAAGAACTGGGCCAGAGAAGTGGGGGGTGAGAGGTTTCATTGGAGACAGAGTGGGGAACAGAACAGGAGGATCTACTGAAATACACTGCTGAGGGGAGCAGCAGGCAAGACAGAAGAGGTCTGCTGCACCATGTGAGATAAGATAGCCCCCTGGCCGGGGACCAAACTCATGCTACAGTGGTTGGCAACAGCTTGATAAAGCTGAGGCTTTAAGCCCTGCACCACCAGGGAGGCCCTCAATAAATTAATTTTAACTTGTTATTTTATTGCCAATTTATCTTATTGTGCAGGCTACTGTTATCATTTCTTTCGTCAAATTTTCACATGACTCAGTACAGAATGTTTAACATTTGATTTACTCTTTCTCTGCTGGATTTTTACTTATCTTTGCATATCTCTCCTTGAAATGGGTTATTTGTGAGAAAAGAGACTGAAATGATCAGCAAGAAAAGGAAGGATATGGCAAGGATGAAATGGCAGGATGGTGAAATGGTACAGTACTTTTTTTTTAATACACAGCAGGATTTAATCTTAATTTTATTAGCTGTGAAATGCCATTTGGACAAATTTAATTTATAGTACACAAAAAACTTGTATAATGCTAAAATGACTTCATTTTCATTTTTAACTAATGAATTGGATTTTTAAGATTTTTTTCTCAAACCATTGAAGGTCACCATATATTATTATCTGACATGGTTAAGTTCATTTCTGATTTATCTTCCATATTAAAATCGAAGGACTTTTTTAAAATGACAAATTTCTATTGCCAACAAAATCTAAACTCTTCATGGTATTATGAAGTCAGAATTTGCACTCTTGACTAATGGTCTAATTTCTATCTATCCATTGTATTGCTCTCTTCATATTAAATTCAGCTGTGGATTCATCCATACTGCGTTTCATACAGTTCTCTGAATAACTATGCTAGTTTAGACTTTTACAACTTTTTCCGCACTTCTTTCTCTGCTCAGAATGCCCCACTCCCCATGCCTCCATCATTAATCTTCTTGACAAGTCTTATAACATTTTATGGAACTTATTTCTTTATATACCTGTTAGAGCTCAAAAATATTTTAATAAATAAATGAAACCCCCAGTTATTTTATCCATACTCATTTAATTCTTGGTATAATCACTATATTTTTTGAACTTAAGTATTTATATTTCCTTTTAATAAGTCCAAATGAAAACATTTGGAGGAATTTTATTGTTTATATAATTATAGATGGTATTAAAACTGTAACTACAGTAAAGCTGAAAAGAAATTTTCCAGAAGAACTCATTCTAAGATATCTGGCTATATGCCCATCTTAGGTAAGTTTGCCTGTTTCTAATTCAGCTTATTATCAATAATAAACTAATGATTCCCGATATTGTATCAATAGCTCAGATCAATATTTTATCTCAGGTTCAATTCAGATCTCCGTTGCGTAACATGTTGCTACATATGAATCTCTCACACACACCCTCAAATATAATATGTCTAAAAGGAAATTTTAGGATTTTTTGTCCTGACTGGCTCCCTTCTAACACAAACCAAATATCCTGGAGAAACTCTTTACATAAGTCTTAGACATGCTATCTCCTGATTAATAGATCTTTATTGAGTTTTCATTCTAACTCAATTCCCACTCTTTGCCTTAATCAAAACTCCTACTTGGTCTCCTTTCTTTCTTGTGCCATTCCAACTTAGCCTTTACAGTATTGCCAAGCTATTTTTCTTAAGACACATCTAATGTGCCGATTTCCTGAACCTTCAGCCCACCCAATACCCATTCACTTTTTTTTTAAAGATTTATTCATTTATTTATACAAGCACTGGATACAGTCAGAAGTGCGGGAGGGTGAGAGAATTCACCAGAGCCAGAGTGGGGAGCAGAACAGGAAGACCAACGAAATACACTGCTGAGGGGAGCAGCGGGCAGGAGAGGTCTGTGCACCATGTGGGATCCTTGCCGTGGGCCAGGGATCGAACCGGTGCTGCAGAGGCTGCAGGCAGCTTCGTAGCCCAGTGCTCAACCACTGCGCCGCCAGGGGAGGTCCCCCATTCACTTTCTAACTCTTGTATTTGTTAGACAGTTTTAAAAGATAAAAATCCTAATGCAACCCTGCAGGACACTACTTCATTTGGCTCATGTTGACCTCTCCACCATCAACTGACAGGTCTTTCCTTCCATAGAACATTAGCTTTGTGTGTGCTTTTTTTCCAAAGAAGGCATGGAAAATCTCCTTCCTTTCTGATTTCACTTTGTCTAGTTTTCATATTCATTTTTCTGCTCTCATCTCAAAATCTTTTGAGTTTTTGAGATGAGACCCCTATCATACACATGCTACACAAGAGGAGACTCCCACATTAGACTTTTCCATTTTCCATTAAAATCCTTCTCAACCCAAATGCCCAAAAATAGACGACTGGATCAAGAAGATGTGGTATATATACACAATGGAATATTACTCAGCAATCAAAAAAGATAAACTCATGCAATTTGCAGCAACATGGATGGAGCTGGAAGGGATCATGCTCAGCAAAATAAGCCAGAAAGAAAAAGAGAAATATGGGATGGTCTCACTCATAGCAGGAATCTAGAAAACCTAAATAAGGGACCAGGAACAAGAATAACTATAAGAAAGAAAAAAATCAAAATCAACAAGCAACCATAAACCAGAGACACACTATGGGAGGGGGGGCGGGGAAAGGAGGAATTGGGGCAAAAATAAGGGGGGTGCAATTGTATGGGGAATATAAAATAATAAATAAATAAATAAATAAATAAATAAATAAAAGGAAAAAATAAAATCCTTCACATTACTTTTTAAAGTTTGTATCTACATATTGAATATATTATAACTTTTGATTTTAAGAGCCATGAAGCCTATATCAATAACAGTTTAGTTCAGAGTTCTACATTATGCCAAACATACTACTGTTTAGTCATAGAAAATATGCATGTGTGTTGTGGCAAATGAATGAACTTCCCACGGAAGATACATTTTTGTTATCAAAATTACATAATGGGGCAATGTGTTCATTTTCTAAATATAAATGATCATCTTTTCAG